TCCTTGGGCGGGAGATCAGCTCGTCGCAAGGCCTCCACCTGTACACAGACACAGAAAAACGCAAGCGCGCGCGCGCACACACACACACACACACACAAACACTAAACAGCCATGCCCTGAGTGGGACTCGAACCCAAGATCCCGGCTTCCGAGGGAATGAAGACAGTGCACGCCTTAGACCGCACGGCTACCGTGACCGGCTGCGCAACATGGAATTAGATAGGAAAATTCAGCGTGGTTATAACTGATAATTATGTATATCTCAGACATACAGTGTTGTAGCATATACTTAGACGCTTGCTCATCTGCTTCGATTGCAGGCCCACATCGTGAAATCTGGGGATGGATATAGAAGGAACCCACATTGGTCTGTTCGAGACTGCTAACGCATTTGCCTGCAGTCCTGCAGCGTCTGACGTAAACCCAAGAAACCTCTTATTTAAAGCGGCTAATTTTGGACTAAAATTCGAATCCCATCTCTCATCAGGAGTACTAACCGCTCAACAGCTGCGTTCAGTAATTAAGCTACGATGAACATGACCATTGAATTTATCACTGCAAGTGTGTGTTCAGAAAATATTTCTTTCTTAAATAAGGTACATGTACATTCATGTCTTACAAGGTGCCATAAACTTTCAGAGGTCTATCTTCTGAGATGTAATGCCCTATATTTAAGTCTGCCGCCTGCTACACTCACTCATGGAGCTGAGCCCTTCGTGAGAAGCTGACAATTGTGCAGCTACTCAAGAATTTCCCAACATTTTATGGAACCCGAAGGTTTGTTACCGCGTTCACAAGAGCCTGTCACTGATCCATATCCTGAGCCAGATCAATCAAATCCATACCATTCCATCACATCTCCCTAAGATTCATTTTAATATTGTCAACCCACCTACGTCTTGTTTTTCCCAGTGGTCTCCTTTCTTCTGGCTTTCTCACCAATATCCTAAATGCATTCCGCCTCTCCCACCATTCGTGCTACATGCCCTGCCCTCATCCTCCTTGACTTGATCATTCTAATTATACTTTGAGAAGAGAACAAGTTATGAAACTCCTCATTATGCATTTTTCTCCAACCTCCTGTCACTTCATCTCTCTGCCGCCTACTTCTTGTAGGGTTTTTGCCTTGCCCTTCGATCCTGAAGATGGAGACAGTATCTTTCTCCAAAACGTGGCTGGACTTCTATCAGAATACATCCCAGTGAAGTTGCTGGTTGGAAGCTAGAACAGGGTTCAGCTCCCAACACAGCAAGATTTTTCTCATAATCACATCCAGGATGGCTCTGTGGCCCATCTAGCCTACTATCCAGAGATAATGCGGCAGAAGCGTGAGGCTGACCATTCATTTACGTCTAATATACAATTCTAAAATGCGGGGAGCTGCAAAGGCATGCAGTTATTTTCGTGGCTTACTGATCAGGCAAAGCAGCAAAGCTACTACAAAGACAACAACAACTCTAATGTGCAGTGACTACATCCATCAGTTGAGAGTTGATAGCTATTCAGCTGATCTACAAATTCCCTTTTATGGAACTCGAAGGTTCACCACAGGCGTTACAAACGCCGGCCACTGGACCTTAGCCAAACGACAATGAAACTAGGTCGCTTTCGTTGTTATATTCAATGTAATGTACAAGTCACATTCGTATATAATCTTTACTTCTGAAGGCTGATTTAACGACGTGAGGTTTGGGGGTTACTTCATGACTCCAATTCGCATATGTAACATTCAACGTGTCGCTCGACATGTAGTTAGTACAGTCTTTGCAGATGTGCAATTCTCGCCAGAATACAAAATTCCGGACACATTTTCATTTAGACAAGAACAGTATATACAGGGGAGCCGGGATGCCTCTATTAGTATAGCGACTGTCTGCAGGATGGACGACTGAGGGATCGGAGTTCGAGGTCCGGTAGGGTCAAGAATTTTCTCTTCTTCACCGCGTCCAGACCGGCTCTGGAGTCCACCTAACTTCCTATCCAAGCGGTACCGGGGGCTCTTTCCTCGGGAGTAAAGTGGCCGGGGAGTGAGGCCTACCATTCACCTCCATCTAGTGCCGAGGTCAAGAAAATGTGGCTTTATACATCTTCTCCTCCATACGTCTTCATGGCGTACATAGTTAATTAAAAGGCGGGTTTCGGTACTTCCGTTGCCCGAAGGGTGTAAAGGAACTCCTAATATGACGTTGTATCTATGCATTTATCCGTCCGCATGTTACGTCTTCGGACTTTGACTGGTTTCGATTAAACTTGGTATTTCGGTTCCACCTTAGAAGTTGATCCTTCACTATCGCCATTCATTCGCTCTTGTATTCTTCTTCGTCTCTCTCTCTCTCTCTCTCTCTCCCTCTGTCCTGAGAGAGCAATGCTTATGAAATCTCAGAAAAACCCGTCAGGCGACTTCCCCAAACGCCAGCCCCAGGATATACGAAAAAGTACACACTGATGCATAGACTCGAGCCATTACGTCATCCCTCGTCATTACGCTTCGTACGCTTTGTACATGTGAAGAGTCACGAGTAAAAGGTCCCATAAAAATCAAGCCAGGGAACAGTCTATTGTTCATTATACGAGTGGAAGAAATGCATAAATGCAACTGCGTAATTACTTGTAGATTACGGCCTTCCCAATTGTGTCATAGTGCAGCCTTCTAAGGGAATACCAACATTTCGGACGAATATGCTGCCTCCATCATCAGGTTCGAAGTGTGTAAGCAGCCGAATCGGTTGGGTTCTATAGACAGATTGCTTAGAAAGTGGTTACTGAGATCCAGGAAAGGGGAGCAGGAGACAGAACCCGGTCAGGAAAAGTTGGGAAGGTGAACTGGACAGACTTCAAGTTCAGCGGTGGTTATGTACAGTACTATCTCCTGGAACAGGGGTCTCCAAACGGGCTGGATAAAATGAGAAATTAATAACTCTAGGTATATGAGTTTTATTGAAAGCACAGAATTTCATAAACTAAATACAAAGTACGTGAGAATAAATTATCGTATATTAATGACAACAGACAGTAGCAGCAAATGCTCATATTTTCATCACAAACTATAATAAAACAATTAATGTGAATGATGGAACTCTTTTTGCATTCTTAAAATCTGATTAAANATTGAGGTTCAAATTTTTGAAATGCTAATCACAAGTAGCGACTTTAAATGTTCATCGGATAAATTTGCCCTGTATTTCGACTTGATGTACTTCATCTGGGAAAAAGTTTGTTCACATAGATATGTCGTCCCAAAAATTGAGATAAATTTACAAGCAATATTCTTTAAATTTGGAAACTGCTCTGAGTTCAGAAATTTATAAAATTCGATCAAATTTCCTTCCTTGTATTTGTCTTTAATATGATAATTTTCCTGGAGTTCAATAATTTCCATTTGAATTTGACTTGGGACATGT